TTGGCTTGGCGTGCGCTCGGGGCGGCGGCGCACCCGCAGTGCTTGGACTTCAGGCCACCCTTCCGGCCGCCGCAGCCGCTGCGCTTCTGCCATCAGTACTCGGCCTTCGGCTGCTGCGCGCCTGAGCGCGACGCCGAGCTCGCCCGCCGCTTCGGGGCCCTGGCGGCCCGCGTGGACGCCGCCAACTGGGCAGTGTGCGCCGGCTACGCGCTGGACCTGCTGTGCCAGGTGAGGGGCACGGAGGCGCGGGGACACGGGGGGGACACGCGGGCGGGGTGGTCCGGCACTGGACGCGCATCCAGCCTAGGCCGGCGGGGTCGCGATGCGGCTGGTGGGTTCCGTGGGGAGGGGACTAGGATGGGCCGTGGGCTCTGACCTAGAGAACCTGGAGGTGTGAATTGGAACGGGCACCTGGGGCGGCTCTGGGCTTTGGGACTTTGGCCTTTGCTGGGTCTCAGTTTCTCCTGCTGAACCAGGAGACCCACCAGAGAGTGCCACCCTCCCTCAGGGGTTGGGGTTCCTCTGCCCCTGGAGACGTCAGGGAATTTGTGTTCTGACGCCCAGCCACGCGGTACCCCGCCCCTGCCCAGGTACCAGATGGGAAGGCGCTTCTCTGGCCCGGGCTCTTCTGCGCTATGCCTGGGATGGCTGGGGCGGAGGGCTGTGCCCAGGGCGTGGTCAGAGCGCTGGGCTAGGGGAGTGCTGCTGCTAGGGGCAGGGGGACCACTGTTCTCCAGGGGGTACCCTCCCTCTTGCCAGACCTTGACCCGGGGGCTCGCTGCCTCTGCTGATGCTGTGCCCTTTCCAGGGGATGGTCTTTCACTTGGCAGAGGCTCTTCCCTCTTCAAGGCCAATTCCAGTGACACCCTCTTGTTGGAACTTCCAGCCTCCACCAGATTGTTCTTCAGCTGTTTGGTTTCCTGCCAGCTTGGGATCTGATTTTCCAGTAAATGTCCAGTAAATGTCCAGTCCCTGGTGGGGACCTCAGAAACAGGGAACCCCTGAAGCTGGCCTTCACCCAGCCTCTGGGATGCGAGAGAACTGGGGGTGAGGTGGAATCCTGAGGGGCCAGCCTTCCTGTGACCCTGGAAGGTTTGGGGAAGAGGCAAGGGGCTGACTTTGAGTGGGAGTTGGATCCTGGCTTTGCCACTTCCTGCCTGTGTAACCCTGGACAGGTCACTTGGCACCTTGGCCCTGTAGTGACATAGCCTATAAAACGGGGACAACCTTACCTTAGGCAGCCCCCAGAGTTGCCATACAGATTAAGTGACACATCATGGGACACAGAAAGTGTTTGGGGTTAAATGTCTCACTCACTTTCCTTCAAGGAAGATTCAGAGAGAAGCAGGAATGTGTCCAGGATCACACAGCTCCGAGGTGGCTGAGGTGGGAATTTACATCCCACTCAGTGCTGGAGGGAGTAAGTGTCTGTCTGGGGGTGATAAAGTGTGGTTTCTCCACACAGTGGGATATTACTTAGCCATAAAGAGAAAAACAAAATTCCCATGAATGCTCCATCATGGCTGGACTCTGAAAGTCTGATGCTGAATGAAAGAGTTCAGACACGAAAGGGCAAGTATTGCACAATCCCGCTTCTATGAGGTGCCTAGACTAGGCCAATGTGCACAGATCCAAGTGGTGACCAGGAGTGGGAGAGTGGAGCAGGAATTGCTTCAGAGACCTTGAGTCTCTGTTGAGGTTGATGGAAACTTCTGGAAAGGCCTAGTGTTGATGATTGCATACTATGATGGGCATGATTCATGTTGACGAATCATGTGCATAAAACATTAAGATGATAGACATTGCTGTTCTGTGTATTTTTACCACAATTTTAAAAGGGGGACTGGGAATGCCTAGGAGAGGGATCCTGGAGATTTCCAGAATGCAAAGGGGAGTGGAGGAGACAGGCAGCTCACCTGTTGGTAGACTCTGCTGATCCCTGAGCTGTGCTTGTGCTGGGCCAGAGTCTGACCCAGGGGCCTCCCGAGGCCAGGTCCTCAGATCTCCCTGCCCATCCCATGTCCCATGGTAGGGCCGGTAGGGCAGGGCCGACACATTCACTCCCTGTTGTTTACTACGCAAGCTGTCTGTGACAGGCTGTACAGCTCCAACTCCAGTGAGGGGCGGGGGAAGATCAGCGGAGGAGGAAGGGTCAATCCTGAGACTACTCCCTTCCCTGGGGAACCCTGCCAGGACACCTGGCCTGGGCGACCAGCTGAGGCATCTTGGAGTGACCTCATGTCTGGAGTGAGCTTGGGGAGGGCAGCAGAGGCTGGATCCTGGTTTCCCTGACCAGGCTTCATAGGAAGGCCAGGAAAGGGCTGGAGGATTCTGCTCAAGTCCAGAGCCAAGGCTGAGTCTGGACCTAGCATCCCCTGATTTCCACTGGGGTGGTGGCTGGGCATCTTATTCACAGGTTTCCGTCAACAACATATTCACATCCGCCTCAGGAGACACACTCCAGACAGGAGAGACCGTAAACAGATGTCCATACCCAGTCCTCCTAAAATTCCCCATCATCAGACACCCACAACCCTCCAAGGACTCTTCCATCTGATACCCACAGCTCTGCTCCAGATGTTCTGGATCTCTCTGAGCCCAGAGACAGCTGTCCCTCCTGCCCCCTTCAGACTGGTTCCAGGCCTTTGCCATCTGGAGGGAAAGATGCTGGGACCCTGGGTGCCTTGGATCCCACTGGAGTTGGTGATGCCATCCCACATGCCGAATTCTTGTGTATTGGAGACTACTCATCCAAGGACCAGAAGCTACCTGTGCTGAATGCTCTCTGAAGGTGGTTCTGGTTCCAGGAGCCCTGTGGGGTCTGTCCTATAGTAGGTGCTGAGTTAGTCTCTAAACTGAACTGTCCATGTTTAGTTCAGAAGACAAACTCACCCAGATGCTTATGGGATGTGTGAAAGGCGGTCCCGAGGTCACCTGGCACTGTATGGGAAGTCAGGGAAGACTTCCTGGAGGAGGGAGCATTGAGGTGTCCCCTGACAGTCATTCAGCATACAAACACATGCACAATCTCAATGTATTCCCTCCAGTCAAGCTATGAGGTTGGAATTCCTTTTCCAAGGCCAGATGAGGATGCAGGCACAGAGAGGTTAAGGAATTTACTACAGGTCACAGCAAAGTGAATGGTGGACTCATCCTCCAGTACTCTCACATTCCAAATTTCTTCTCCTAATCCGATTGCCACAATGCTCCTATCCTTGAAGACCCCTGTGTGTCCTGGAGGACCCCACAGTGTGTAGGGTAGGCAGATAATAAACC